GAAAGAAAACACCAACTCTGGAATACAACAACAGTCCCAAGGCACTATATTTTGTAACTGTATACATATTATATATTTATGACATTTATAACAGATACAGGCTGATCATCAAGTGTCCATAATTTTTTGAGGTATATTTGATTTTACGCTATGTGCACTGAATTTAATTTTGCTATCAAACTCTTGCATTACTGGTGGACCAGAGTTATCCAGCAGTACTCCAGCCTTCTTTATTGGAACAGATTAGTTCTTCAGAAACTCTCCATACTCTGCACCGTCTCGCCTTAAGGTGAGAAATTAAATTTGTTGTGCTGAAATGTTTATTAGTAGACCCTCCTCATGACATTTTGGCAGAGGATTGTTTGGAAAATGTCTCATTTCGTTCTTGCTAATGTTACAACAATTCCATACAGATGACATCTTTCTAACTTTAGTATGCAGGTGTGCAAAGCAATATGGGTCATTATTTTAAAGGGTATTGTTGGCGGTAAATATCTCATTTTTAACCTTTGGCTGATGGCTGATTGTTGCTGTATTGTTCAGTACCAGTAGGTGGCCAATACAATTTGTCAATATCTAGTTTTAACTAAAGGAATGGATATTTGTGTGGTATTGTCGCCCCCATCTGGATGCAAATATAATTACTCATATATAATTACTTTTTTTTTTTTATCACTTTTCCAGACAATTTTGTCTGCAACTACTCCCCTGGCACACAGTGAGAAATTATATTTCCAAATAAACAATAAATGACATATTAACATGTTTCAATTGAACACTGTCCATTACATCAGATACAGCTAAGCTTCCCAGTTCGATTATAATTACAATTTAGTTTCTGTTAAATCATAATTATATTGGATTATTTCTGCATCTACTGGATATGTGATATTTGTTTTCCAGTGCTGTGTCTTTGCATCAGAAGGAAAACGAGTCGTATAAAGGAGAAACAACTGCGGAACCTGTGTAATATTAATTTAGCTGCTTCTGCCTCCTTCTATTCTGTTCTGCACAGCCTTATGTTCCTCATCTTCCCTAGTAGTAGCTGTTAACCTTTAGTGTTTGTTAGGTTCCCTGGTTCCTGCTCTTGTTAATTGTAAGTTATTTCACCTGTGTCTTGTTGTTCCATCGCCTTGTTGATTGGTTGAAGTTTGTGATGATTCACACCTGCCTATTGTTAATCCTCGTTATCTGTGAATTTAAGTGCCTGTCTTTGTTCATTTTCTCAGTCAATCTCTGTGCACATGTCAGTACTCATGTGTTACTCTGGTGTTCCTAGTCCTGCTCCCTTGTCATTTTAGGATAAGGTTTCTTTAGTTTGTTAGCCCCCCTTTTTTTTTTTGTCATAGTTCCTTTATTTTGTGATTTCCCCTTTTGGCGTTGAGCCTGACTTTTATCAAAACACCCCTGTGTCTCTGTGTGACTAGTGGATCATTACCTTCCTGTCAGCACCTTGCCACACCACCGTGACCCTTTGAAATCGATGGTTTTATATGAGCCAAGTTTGACAGGCCATATCTCAGAATTTTCTCATAATGCATAAACAAGTCTTATAGCTTATTTATAGATAAAATTTGGCCAACTTTTACTTTGCCATTTTAAGTACATTTATTTTGCAATGCTTGCTTTTTTCTTATGTGGGCCAAGTTTGCTTGGCCATTTCTCAGAATTTTTCCATTAAGCTTTTGAAGTGTCTCATACCACTTGCTAAACAAAGTCCTTGATTGGAATCAATGCACCTTTGACAAGTTTTACTGTACTGTTTTCAAGTAAACCGCAACTAAAATAACAATGTAAATGACGTCATATAATACATACACCTGTTATAGCAAGTGTTTTCTATCAAATGCTTATCAATGAACAATCAACTGAACTCATCTGTTGAATTCGCTTGACATTCATATTCATGAATATATTCTTGTTAATGCCTGACACCATACCTATGGGAGTGTGTTACCCCCATAGCATGCCGTGATGTCAGTTGACCATATCATCTCACCAATCAATCTAAAAAGTTTCCAAGGGAACACAGCATATTGGATGAAATATTTGAGCCACTTGGCTTCACTCAAATCATCGCTATGGGAATATTGGGTAATTAGCAGTTTACATCCTGTGAAAAACTTGGTTTATATAACCAAAAGTGCATTTTCTTGACAATGGTACTGGAAAAGTTGACCAAATATTTGACTTTTTACACTTTTATGCTTTTTCATAAGAATGATTACACACCATAAAATGTGTTACAAGTGAAGCTTAATATATGGAGTGTGGCAGAGGTCCATGAATTGCAAGATAAATTTAATAACAAGGAATGATTTCAGCCATAAACCCAAGTGCGGAGCAAACAGGTTTTTAATATACAATCCGGTTGAGAAAACAAGGACAGATAAGTTGGACTAATAATTGTGGCACACATATTTTTCAAAAATATTTTTGTTTTATGGTAACAATTTATATTTCCTTATAATGATTTTGCTTCAATCAAAGGTTATGTATGTAATAATCAAATACTTTGCTGGCAAAGTATTCTGTAATAATCAGATAGCGAGGAGGAGACGGATCCCTGGTTGCGAGAGACCAGTGGGTTTATTAAAGAGCCGATAACAAACAAAGCCAGTACAGTGAGCAAGAATCGTAGTGGGGAAGATCAACAGAGGTTGAGAACCAGTGAAGTAAGCCCTATGGAAGAACATGGGACGAGAAGACGACAGGGGAGCGGGGGCAACGGAGGCAGGTCAGGCAGGCAGGACGGGCGAGGCAGGCAGGGCAGGCGAGACAAGCAGTGCAGAAGGAGCAGGCAGGGGTAATGGGAGAGATGAGAGACAAAAGAATGCTCAGTAAGTTTCCGGTACATGGCAACAATACTTCGCATCTTGGGATTCGGTAGATCTGCTTACGACACGGAGGTGATTGTCCACAGCTGTTACGCCCTGCCCGTGTGATTGTGACAGAACCCCCCCCCCACCAGACGGCCACCTCCTGGGGGTCTGAACCAATCCCAGTCAGCGAGGTACTGCAGCAGAACCCCAGCATGGCGTTGAGAGTCCAGAAGGGCATGAACCTGGAACACCCCTGAGTCATCCTGCAAGGGTTGAGGAGGTGGGACCACCACACCCTCAGTTGGGTTCACTGGGCTGTATCGCACCGGCTTCAAGAGGGAGACGTGGAACGTGGGGTAGATGTGGTACATACTTGAGAGTTGTACACAAAACGTGTTCGGTCCTACTTGCCGGACAATCCTGAACGGCCCGATGAAATGAGCCAACAACTTCTGACATGTGGGTAGCTTGAGGTTGCAGATAGAGAGCTGGCTCACTCGATAGGGGGGAGCTGAGCGTAGGCATTTGTCTGCTTTGACCTTCTGTTTCCGTGCCTGATGGGAGAGAGCGAGTTGTGTCCGGCACCAGACTGCCTTACAGTCCCGATACCAAGTCTCCACTCATGGCACGTCACTGCTTGGTGCATCCCATGGGAAGAGGGGAGGTTGATAGCCTAGAACACACTGATAGGGAGAGAGGTTTGTGATAGGAGTAACTTGGGTGTTGAGGGCAGGCTGTCGGTAGCTTGGGGAGAGCAAGCAGACGGCACATCTTAGAAAACCTGTCCACTATCGTGAGGATAACCGTATTACTGTAGGACAGGGGAAGGTCCGTAATGAAATCCATGGCTAGATGCGACCAGGGCCGTGACGGGACCAGTAGGGCCTGTAGCAATCCGGCGGGCGGTTGGTGAGAGGACTTCATCTGCACACACTCGGAGCAGTAAGCCACATACTCCTCTACTGCACTTCTCCATCCTGGCCACCAGTACAGCTGGACTACCAACTGCAGAGTAGCAGAGAAGGATGTCCCGTGCTCCTCAAGGTGTGTACCGAGCGCACCACGGCGGAGCGGTGTTGGCATGGTACTGTACATGCAGTTTGCCTGGGGGACATGTGGTAGGGGGAGTGTCACGTTCATTCGCCTAGATAGTCTCATCAAGGGACCAGTGATCGTCGCCGTGAAGCAAATGGGTGCCAGGATAGGGGTGGTCTTGCCCTAAGCCTCCGGTGGGTCGAACTGTCGGGAGAGGGCGTCGGCCTTTGTGTTCTTCTTACCAGGTAGGTAGGTGACCTTAAAGTTGAATCGTGTGAAAAAACATAGACCACCGCGCTTGTTGGGAGTTCAGCCTCTTGGCGTTCTGGAGGTACTCCAAGTTGCGGTGATCGGTGAAGATCTGGAAGGGGTGTCGAGGTCGTTCTAGCTAGTGCCTCCACTCTTCCAGGACTAGCTTTATGGCCAGGAGTTCCCAATCCCCCATGTCATAATTGCGTTTGCCCGGCAATAGCTTCCTAGAAAAGTAAGCACACAGGTGACAACGACCGGTTACTGGATCCCTTTGGATAAGGACAGCTCCCACTCCACCTCCATCTCAAAGGGGAGTTCCTGCCGTGGCTGCTGAAGGACAGGAACGGAGCAGAATGCATGTTTCAGATTCTCATAGGCGATTCCCACCTCCAGGGTCCACTGAAGACATGTTTTGCCCTCGCGTATGAGGGAGGTGAGAGGAGCCGCTACCTGGCTGAAGTTCCTGATGAACCGATGGTAAAAGTTGGTGAACTCCAGGAACCGCTGGAGCTCCTTGGTGGTGCGTGGTTGGGGCCATTCCTTGATGGAGGTGACCTTTCCTTCTTCCATCGCGACTGCTCCCTGCTGGATGTGATAACCCAGGAACTTGACCTGGGGTTGATGAAACTCACACTTCTAACCTTTGACATATAAATAGTGTTCTCGTAACCACAGCAACACCTGTCGAACATGTTCAATATGCTGGGACAAGGTAGGAGAGAAAATCAGAATATTGTCTATACAGACAATAACGAACCGGTTGTTCATATCCTGGAATACAGCATACATGAAAGCTTGGAAGATGGATGGGCTGTTGGCGAGACCATACGGCATAACTCGATATTCATACTGCCCTGTGTTGGTGATAAAGGAGGTTTTCCACTCATCCTCTCATCGAATCTGGACCAGGTTATAGGCACTTCGCAGGTCTAACTTAGTGAACACGGTCACCTCGCAAAGTTTTTCTAGAGCGGGCGGGATCAGAGGCAGGGGTTCCCGGCATTTCACGGTTATGGCATTGAGGACCCGGTAATTGATACACAGGCGTAGGCCATCATCCTTCTTCTTTACGAAGAAGAAGCCCACTGTTATGGGTGATGTGGATGGGCGAATGATACCCTGTCTCAGGACTTCCTTGATGTAGGTTTCCATGGCCTCCTCCTCGTGCAGGGATAAGGGGAAGAGGTTAGTGGTTATCTGCAACCCCCCACCATGCACAACAATTGGTATAGTGAATTGGACGGGGGACACGGCCACGAGAACGGAGAGGCCTACCTTAAGGGCACCCTCTGGACGAGGTGGGCATACGGGGCAGGTCCATAGGATGTGTCCTGACTCCCCACAGTACAGACAAAGCCCTTGCTGAGAGCGACGGCATCTTTCAGCAGTGGAGAGGGGAGAGTGCCCGAGCTGCATTGGCTCGACGGCGAAGAGTGTTCGATGGCGAACATCAAATCTGCACGGGTTTATCGGCAATGGCACTCCCTTACAGTGTTATCCAGTGTTACAGACAACCAGACAGCTTGAAGATCTGTGCCTCGCCGTGGGTGGCCAGCTCATCCTGGAACAATCGTTTGCCTAAGCTTATTCCTACCGCAGGGTGATCAAACACTTCGGTAAATGCCTGTTGGAAATCCATGGAATTGACACCACACAAGATCAGTGGGACAGAGCCACTGGACAGGACAGGATAAAAGGCACAAGAATGGGCACAGAACAGACCAGAGACCAAACGGACAACAGGAGAGACCAACAAACAAAACCACACAGATGAAACAGCCAATACACAGGACAGGATGGGGAAATCGTTTAAACTGTTATAAAGTTAACATTTTCATGCAAATATTTTCCTTAAAAATTAAGGAATTAAGTTTTAGCATGCTGCATGCAAAAAGAACACAACTTCTGGCCAGAGGACCAGTGCTTAAGAACGAGATTATTGTAAAACGGTGTAAAAAGTTCAGTTTGTTTAGAGACTGTTCTTAGTGTTTTGGGAAGAGTTATTCCAGTTTGCACAGTTAAGTTACTTTTGGCTTGATTTTTAAATATCGCCTATATATGCTGGGTCACATAATAACCCGAGGTATGTAATAGTGTTTCCTGAAAATCGTATGTACATAAGAATTAATCATATCACGCACTATCGATGTCAATTAAAGACGAGGACAGGAGGGAGGAAGGGGCGCTGGGCAAAGATTTGCTAATTGATTTAGTAAGCTTTTCATTTCAAAATAGTATTAGTAAATAAATACATTAAAAGGACATTTAAAATCCGCCCCCCCCCCCTTCCATCCTTTGGGGTGCCTGGCTGCCTCCTTTGAATGGATGGTGCCCCTAGCATTTACCTATACTGCATATGCCATGGGCCAGCCCTGGATAAAACATTTGCTAAATAAATGTGTGTGTGTGTGTGTGTGTGTATGTATATAAATAAACAGAGGCTGCATTTACAGCAGATTCCTGTTTACTTCAGTATCTCAGCCATCAGCTCCTCTGACTGATATAACCACAATAACCAGCTTTATACCTGAACATCTGCTGCTCTGGAACTGATCCCAGATTGTGGGAAGGAAGCTACTTCTGATTCCAACTGAGAGGAAGCTCAGTTTTTGTAAAGCATCTCAGTAACTTTTGATCACTGTGCCACCAGCAAAGTACAGTAGTAGATTGCTGTGTCTGCTATGGTAAGCTGATCAATGGTGAGCTCGATTGAGTCCGTGGAAGTAGAAAATTTGAATCGTTCATCTGTGGTATGGCTATTAGTCCATCCACGGACATCTTTAAAGGCGAGATACTGCAGTCTCTGGTTAGACTGCTGTCTGTACCAATCTATCCTAGCATATTGATTTGTTGTTTTGTAGCTGCAGCTTAATGACACTGATCCTCCTTCTTTGCCAGAAACTTCAAGTCTACCAGGATTGATTTCATTACAAATAGTTAATCCTGAAAACAGAAAACATAATTAATAACAAAAAATTAGAATGCTGATAAGAAATTCTTTGAATTGAATGATTTTTTAAATATTTGCTAACCATTTATGCCTTTTTATGATTACCTGTAATGATAGTTATGATAACTAAGATGAAAGACTTCTCCATGAATAATAGAAATGAACTCCAGTGTTCACCTTACTCTGTTGAGAGGTGCTTCATGATTTGTTGTTTTAATGAGAATAATCATGTCACATGACCTCTGTTTCTATTGGCTGAATACGTAATATGTCTCTGTCACACTTCCCATAAAGATTCTCTTACTCTACAAACCCTAGGGAAGCTTTCATAGACTGATCTTCACGCTTTACTGTAATGTTTGCACCTCCACACAGTCTTATCAACATGGAATTTTTACACAGACAGCAAATAAAAATTACACCAGAGGAAAACCCTCTGAATCTCCCAGTACATGAGCTCTATTCACTCCCTGCACATACCCTGCCCTCCTGCGGATTTGCACTAATTGTGCTTAGCTACATCCTACTGTAATCAGAGTGAATAGTAAATAACCCCACACTCCACGCTGGCCAATTAGCTCCATAAGAGGAGCTCTTTCAGTGACAAAACCAGGCTTCTGAGAGACAAAACAATTGGAGCTATATTATGACTTATGATTTTTCAAAACGTTCAAAACATTGTTTCACAGTGACGTCTAGTGGGCAAATAGTGCTCCATGGACACTCTTGGAGAAACAGACAAAAATAGAATGCATGTGATTTTAGTAAAAACATATTTAATGAACACATTTAATGCCAGCGCAACATATAAAATATATGCAAAATATGTATTTTATAAAAATGACTTGAAGGGATTTGTAGGGTGAATTCTTGCGTACTGAGCTTCAGTAATGATGTTGTGTGAAGATTTGTGTCCAGAGTGATACAGTTTATCCTTTTAGTTAAAACCTCTGCTGCTTTGGAAAAAACTCTTACAAGGCAGTGATGTTGCTGAAATAGATGTGGAAATATTACAGTGTGTCTGGGCCAGTATCTCCCATGAGCAGATATGTAGCTGAAAGTTACCTCTGAAACTCTACAGGAGCTTGAGCAGAGAAACCCTGACTGAATTGTACCACCCACTCTGCTGTCTGAAAAATCCCAGAGGCTTTGTTCTTCATTCCTTTTCCTGACGTGAGGTCCTATATTAGCAGATGTTAAAGGCTGACAATGACTTGCTTATGTATGGAAACTTGCATGAGCGGCAGCACAACACTCAGATGTCAAACACATACCGTAAGTGCTATAGTTGCATTCTCTGCGCATCTGAAAACCAAAACCTTAAACCTGGGACCCTGCAAAGTTGCCATTCCAAGGACTGTCACAGACTCCACCTCATATCATCCCTTCAGATTCTTCTGAAGATTATTGCATAACAGTAATACAGTTGGGTTTGTTACCTTCTTATCTTCATTGACCAGCAGTCTCACTGGGTGCTTTTTAATTAGCAACACCTTTGCAATAACATAAAACACCAAAAATGTGTGAAGTATCCCTTTGTCCAGTCAGTGACTACAATTGCAATTAATAGCAAAATGGCAAGAACAAAACTGAATGAATCAGTCAAAAAAAAATGACTGACAATGACCGGGCCATTGTCTTTGTTGAACAATCACCACAAAAATGAAGACAAAGGAGCATTCTGCTGCTGTGAGAAACAAAGTCATTGAAATGCACAAGGCAGGTAAAATATTGAAGACTTTGGATGTTCTGTTAAGCACTGTTGGATCCATCATAAGAAAGCGAAAGGTTCATCACAGCACCCAGACCCTTTGTAGAACAGGCCATCCGTCAAAACAATACAAGATGTTGACTGGTGAGAGAGGTTACTAAAAATCCAACCACCATTCTCAGATGTCTGTAATAGTCTTTGGCTGAAACTGGAATGACACATAGAATTATCTCATCCTTCGTGTTACTGTCACTAAGCTCCATTGCTTCAATATTGGTGCAAAATCTGGTTCAGCCTTACAACATGTCTGCAAAGGATGAAAAACATTTTTCATTCATAATGGAAGTTTCCCAGTTGTATGCAAAGAACCTTCTTTTTGAATGACAAAAACAAAGTGGCAAGGAATGCGGTCTTGTTCAGTCTGTTGCTGTAGGATTATTATATTATGAAACACATCTAAAATATACAAAAAAGTGTTAATGCATGTTAAAATGAGTAGGGCTTGTTATAGCAAGATAGAGAAGACAACAGGGACGAAATGTGCAAGACTTAAATGAGAACCAAACGGCTGTAATAGTGACAAAATAACTGAACAGAGACAGGAAACAGGAATAAACTTTATCATATAATGTTTGCTGAGAATGATCTGCTCAGTGTGCAGGTGTTTTTGTAGAGGGTGTGAGAAGGTTATTCTCACTGTGGGCCTCAGAGCACAGTAATACACAGCAGAGTCTGACAGCTGCACATTCTGTACTGTTAATGGTACAGTTTGTGTGCTTTATATTCAAACCGGCATTAAATCTCCCCTTGTATCCTGGAGCAGTATCACCTTCTCCAAACTTTTCCCGTCTCAGGATGTACTTGGGTGACTCATTGGGATATTGTATGTACCAGAAGAGATACGGGTTTGTGCTGCCTGATTCATATGCACAGTGTAGTATCACTGATCCTCCTTCTTCTAGACTGACATTTGCTCTGGTTTGATTTATTCTGTCTTCAGCGCTGCATTCTAAAGAAAGAAACAGAATAGTAAGTTATTTAAAAACTTGTAAAACTGTACAATGTAAAAAAAAATCAGCAACGAGTATGAGATCAAATCATACCAAAGAACAAACGAGCAAAGATCAGAAAAATCCACATCCTTTGCCCCATGACTGAGCTGTAAAGACAATAAATATGGAGATCTATGTATGCTATGGATCAGGCAAACAGTCTGCCTGGTTCTTGCTTTCACTGTCGATATCTAAATATCTCTGCAGTGTCAGGCCTTAAAGATGTGCTGAAATGACAGTGTTTTGAATTGAAGATTATATCATTTGTGATGTAATGTCGCCCCCATCAGGTAGAAAAAAATAAATGTTTTTCATCACAAGCACACTGCATGTGTGAGTCACCAGCAGGCTTTGAGTTATAATATTTGTGTTAGTCTTATGTTATTGGGACTGGAGACAAAACTACCTAGGATAACGTAATTATTTATTAGAGCTCATAGGAGTGGATGTTTCAGTCCCACTAGTAAGACGACATTCTTGACTTTTTATTTTTTTTACTCCCTCCACCACCCCCCCTCTGCGGAGGAGTACTTTATTTATTTATTTATTTATTTAAATTATTATTATTTATTTTTTTTACTTCCTCAAGAGATGGCGAGGGAGAGAGAAGGGGGGAAACAAAGGAGAAGAAGGGTGGAAAGAGAGAGAGGGAGAGAGAGAGGAGAGAAAAAACAAAACAAAACAGATAATCTGCAACATTCTTGTTGATGCTGACAAACGGATCGGCTTGGGGAGGGAGGATGGAGCCCTTGTAGGGGTCACTAGGGGGCGCCCTCCTTCCCCGATGTTTCCCTGACAGCCCCATGATGCCTCCTGAGGGCTCGACGGTGGTACCTGCCGTCCCAGGTTCACCCCCTCTTGGTTCCATACCATCCTTGATGTTTCTATGAAAGCAGTGATGCGCAACCCATAATGAAACCTTACTCATAATGACAGGTGTCCCTTTCCACTTTAAATAATGAAAAAGCATAACGCCTAGGATGGTGAACAGATCCACAGGGCACAGGAATGTTGAGGATGAAAGAGAAAAATTTATTTGGCTTCCTGGTGCTATGAGCTGGTAGGTAAAGTGAACAACAGAGAGCAACATATTTTACTTTCATTTAGCAGAGGCGTACTGTATATCCAAAGCGACATACATTTCAGAAAGCAAGTGTCGAATAACCCCTAAGCAGTTGGGTTAAGTTCCAGACTTTACAGAAAATCCCCATATATCCCAGTGAGTGTATGACTCTGCTCTGTCTTGTCCTGTCTTCTGTCTACCTTGCCTTGTCTCATTTGTCTATTTTTGTACTGTTATGTCATATTGGGGTGAAGGGGGTGGGCAGGCAGGGATGGGCTGATTTGGAGTAGTTTCCCCTAATGTATTGAACTGTTCTTAAGCTAATTAAAAATAGAGTTGTCCCCTGAAGAGTGAGGGGGGGGGGTAGGTTGGATATTCAAAAAAAAGAAGAAAGTCACATTTATTGCTAAGAAGGAATTGAATAAATCTGCTATTTGCTCATATAGATCTTGTAGTCGCTGTTTTATATACAGAAAGATTAATATCATTTTATATATTGCAATTCTATAAGCAATAGTTTACAAATACAAAATACTAACAGCATGACTACAGAATCGCCCTATAACACAATGTGGCGTCAGACCTCTGACTCCAATACACTTGCTTCCCCCATTATTAACATGAACCCTACAGTATGTCCCTGCTGTGGTGATTGACCCCCAGCAGCTGGCTCTCACCTGTATACTGTATGTGTCTTTGTGTCTCAGGGAGAACAGGATCGGGAAGGAAAAAGAGAATTTTGCCCACAGGGATTAATAAAGTATCATCATCATCATTCCTTCCTGATGTCTTCCTCTCCCATTGAAGTTACCATTAATTATAAGAGAGTCATGAATAGCCGTGAGTAGCAAAGCCCTTTTCCCAAAACATCCATGCTGTACCATATTTACACTTTTACCATATTTAAACTTTTGTTTATATATGCTGTAATACCCTAGTACTTGGGTATTCTGTTAAAGCACCTTTAATGTCATTAGAGACTGGACTTAGAGGCTATATTTGACATTAATTTGTCACCATAAATAGAATTCCTACAAGCTCCTGAGTGATGATGCAACCAGTATAATTTAGCATGCCTGTACTTCCTTCCCCAGCAGCACCCAGATCTCTACAAACTCTGTTCTTATATCTCTGGATTCCAGCCATAAGAAGCCATGCAGCACCTTTCAGATGTGACTGTGGTGAACCTCCGGTAAAGGAAGTCAAACCACAGAGGCAGAATTAGCATCTGATTAGTAGTAAATTTCTATTGAAGAGTTTTTGTTAAAGTTCAGGCCGTGTTGTAGCACTGTGGTTTGCCTTACGGTTACGGCACAGTAGTAGATTCCAGAGTCTCCAATCGTTGGAGTAATTGTCAGTGTTCCAGTCTTCCTTGAAGTGTCCACATTTGGAATGAATCTTCCACGAGAATCTCCATAGTTGCTTGACCCTGTTGCTTCATTTATATATCTAGGTGTGGCATCATTAAAGGTTTGTTTGTACCACTGCATAGAATAAAAGTTACTGATTGTGTAGCTACAGCTGATTATCACCGATTCACCCTCTTTTGCCACCCTAGACTCAGGGCTTTGGGTCACATCTGGTGCACTGTGGACATCTGAGGAGGAACAGAAAGATCACAAGCTGAGTTCAGCCCAGAAAGCTTCACATGTGGATGTTCAGGAGAAACGCTGCAGTATTACTCACATGCTATGAATGACCAGGTCATCAGGTGCCAGGATACATAGGTGTACACAGGAATGCCCATTTTCCAGAACATTCTCTCTGTTCTGCTTACACAGTTTGGCTTCTATTTAAATTGCATGCATGAGTCAAATGAAGGTAAGCGAGTAACAAAATGGGAGGAGCCTGGTGTCTATGGTGCTGCAGATGACCTGCAATGCATTCTGGGTATATTTTTAACTAAATTCTCCCAAAGTGACACTTTATGGTCAGTAAGCCTGCATTTAACTTTTATGTCAGTAAAAATTAGTCTAGCTTCCTGTTGCGTTCCAGTTGTGTACGTCATAAAACATTTGTGGTCAATTAGAATACAGTAATTATTTTTTCACTGTGAACCAACCAGAAGTTCAAATGGGATGAGAAAACCCAATGTCTACTGCCAGAATACACTCACTCCAACAATGGCCCACAGGATCCATTAATTTGTTTTGTTACTACAATAAGCATGTTAACAGGAACAGTTAGCCTCTTAATTTAAGAGATTGTGGTTTAGCTGCTGTATCTGATTCGCACATAAAATGTACAGTGGGAAACAGACCATTTGTTTTCTGTCTCTTGGTTTTGTATTTGAGAGGGAGAATCAGTCTCATAATTTAAAAACAGCACCATCTAGTGTCTGATATGAATTTATTTATTTACTTATTGTTGTTATGACTCCTCCAGTCCAGCTGTGGGAGCCAAGCATGCTTTGCTTGAGTTTCTTTCTCCATTCAGTCCATCAGGTACAAATCTTTCACTCTTCCAGATTGCATCTCTAATTCTTTTTGGTTGTCTGCTACACATGCATCATCTGGTGCTGACCAAAAGCACAAACGGAGAAGTGAAGTATGAACTGGCCTTAAGACACTCAAACACCTTCAGCCTCCCTGTCACGGCTGCTCTCTCCCACCATCACTGTGGCTCATATACATATTTACACAGAACACAAGCTAAAATGACACCAGAGGAAAACACCTCCTGAATCTCCCAGAACATGAGCCCTATTCACTCCCAGCACACACCCTGCTCTCACTCAGTCAGATTCCTACGTCTTTTATTCCAGTGATTAATTAGTGACAGCACACTCTCAGCTGGTCAGGTAGCTTGTTAGAAGAGCTCAGTCAGTAACCAGTGATGCTCTACTTTCAATATTCTTATAAAATCTGTCTTTATAAATCTTATTTTTTTGAAGACGTAAATGTAGCTTCAGGAGAGTTTACAAACATTGAAACATAGTTTGGAAATTAGAAAACCTCATTAACTGCTCAGATGCTGTTAGGTTTTTGTACAGCGTCAGTGAGTTTCCTGTCACTGTGGGATTCAGAGCACAGTAGTACACTGCAGAGTCTGTCACTTCTGTAGAGGAGAGCTCCAGATGTAGAAGCTTGTCATTCTTGTTGACTTGAACAGACATTCGAAGCTCTGTGTTCTGTATGGGTTCTGAACTTTCAGTGATGAGCATGAGAAATTTTGGTGCTGATCTGGGATACTGACGATACCATTGTAGATTCCTAACTGATCCACTGTAGTTACAGGAGAGTTTAATATTTCCACCCTCTACAACATGCAGTGTATCAGTTAAAGATGTAATTGTATTCTCCTTACTGTGACCTGTGGAGAAGATGATTGCAATATTTTACATTAATAAAATGTAAAAAGAATATTTCAGTGTAATATACATATTAAAATCTATTACAAAAGAAAAAAAGGTAAAAAAGGAAAGTACTACATGCATTATGTCACTTACCCACAAGTGCTAAAAAGAGAAGTAATGAACAGAGTAACATCATGGCAGATGGAGAGAGACAGACTGAACTGAATACTCTGCTACCAAGGTCGGGTCTAACAGGAAACTCCTCTACTGCCCCAAAACAACACGCTTGTCCCACTGTGACACAGCTTGTGTCACCCTGACAGCCCTCCCTCTCTCTCCCTCTCTCTCTCCCTTTCTCATTTTTTGATCATTATTTTGCTGAAGCTAAAATTACAATTTATTTAAATAGATGAATACTGTTCTTTGAGCAGAAAATAACAGGATGGTCCATTTCTTACAGTTTGAATGTTTGGGTCCTTAAACTCTGTGATCCCTGCTTATTCCCGAGGGGTGTTAGGTTCCGTGTTCGACCACCAGTAGCTGTAATATTTATTAGAACAAAACTCCTGGATTGTGATACATTATTTTTGCAATGAATTACAGAAGGTAAAATATTCATTTATCAAACATATCTAATAATAGCTAGTTAAAATTTTGTTGGCTATTAACTGACTGTGTAAAAGAA